ATTGATGTGTGTATGGATTGTGGTAAGAGTTGTATGAGCCCCTAATAAAACGATTAAAAAAAGAAGAAGAAAATGACGATGGCAACAAATGTACAAAGGGCTTAATGCAATGGACGGATGTATGGAAGAGTTGTAGGAGCCCCCAATAAAATGATTTTTTTAAATGTTAAAAAAAAAGAAAGAAAGAAAAATGCAAAGCAAAGCATTATGTGGTAGAAAGGAAACCAACACAGTATTCAAATATGGTTCTATCTGGAATGTAGATAGAAAATTCAGCATGCCATATATATTTGCCTAATTTTCTTTTTTGTTCTTTAACTAACCCTCACCACCAATTTTGACTATGAAATAAAATGTTTCTCAAATTCACTGTTTCCTCTTCAAATGGATATGGATCACAAGAAAATTTTAAAATAACTAGATCTAAGAAATAAAGGAAAACTATCCTGAAAAATGAAAAGGAAAAATACTAACCATCAAAAGTTGACAACAGCAACTCAAATGGTTACACTCAGGGAAGTGACTATATGTTAATGGTGGCGGAACCGTTCGGGAAAGGACAAGAATGGTTACACAACTTGCAGAATGTAATCATTATCACTGAATTGTACACACAGAAACTGTTTAGTTGATATATGTTTTGCTATTTATATTTTCAACCAATAAACCAGTAAATTATTTTTGTAAAAGATACCAAAACAAAACTGGATTTTACAGACAACCAATGCAGGAAGATATAGTTACTGCATGTGAATTCTTACTGTACTATAGGTCAGTCTTGATCTTTGTGATGTACTGTGCCCACCCTCCAAAATATCCATTGAAATCTTAATCCCTGTTATAAATAGGACCCAGATTAGAAACACACACAAACACACACACACACACACACGAAGACAGATGCCACGTAAAGACTTGTCTATGGGCCAGGAATGCTTACGGCTACCAAAAAGGAAGGCAATAATAAGCTATAAACTCTAGTTTGGCCTGCGTAACTGTGAGAAAAATCAAGTTCTGTCTTTCAAAAGCATCTACTTGTGATTGTTTGTGTTACAGCAGCCCTAGGTAGCAAAGACACTTCCCCATAGGCAGGAAGCTGGCCAATCTGGACGCATTACAGAAAACAGCTACACCTGACAGCAGCATAGCCTCCGCTGTTCACAGTCTAGCAACTATACAAAGACAAACCTGCAACACTCAAGCCAAAGAGCACGATGATCTTAACATTTAGTTATGAGTAAGTCATGATCAGTCAGGGAGGAAGAGTATCATATTAAATTACAAATTACCTAAAAGTACAAAAACACACAGAAAAGTTGAAAAACAGTAGATACACATTTACCGACCATTGGAGCATTGTGTCACTCTCTCCCTTCCCTCACTAAGCCACTTTAACGAATGCTCCCAACATCATGATGCATCAATGCTAAATAACTGCATAAACTCTGCACTTCTGAGAATGAAGGAAATTGTTCCACGTGCCCCCTCTACATGAGTATCATACCCATCATAAAATCACTCCACCCTAACACAAAGTACCTGTGCATTATTTCTTTGCTCAGTTTGCCTTCCACCTCTAGAAAATGTCTGATGTTTTTCCATCCATGGTTTTTTTTGAGTTGCTTGGCAAGTTACATTGGACCAATTCACACCACCTGCAAATAAGATTTTAAAATATGATTTACTTATAAAAGATGCCAAAAAACTAACAAAAACACCCAACCTTTATGCACTGAATTTCAGACACTATAAATGTTAACACTGGAAATTCATCTATAAACACTAAATAGCATCCCAATTCTTTACAAACAGAAGTATCATCTTGTAGAATACGCCAAATGATGCCAAATGGCATTTTCTCAATTTGAGAGACAAGTGCAACTTCAAATTAACATTAATCTTTGTTGTTTGGTTTTACAGTATCAAGATTCACGCTCAAAACAACTCTGACATGAACAAGGAAAAGGGTGCCGTAATTAACACAAAACCACGTAGGAAATAAGTACTCAAAATGAAAAAGAAAAGTAGTACCTGAACATATAGAGGATTCCATATGCTAAAAGAAGGAACAAAAAAGACAATTATTTTCCATCTGTGAGTGAATTTTATATATTGTATATACTCAAGTATAAGCCGACCTGAATACCAGTCGCGGCACCTAATTTTAACACAAAAACTGAATTAAACGTGCTGAAAAACTCGGCTTATACACGAGTATATATGACTTTGTAAAATGTTTCATTATTTAGTCTACTGGGGTACTTTTTCTTACAAACTTAAAAAAATAAATCTCTAATGAACATTTTGCATATTAATAGAAAAATGCACAAGATACATTTGAATCATGCTATTAACTAGCACAGGAGCTGTTGGTGAAAATACGTCAAGCTTTAGCAGAAGACACACAAAGATAAAACTGACAGCAGTGAGGGTTAAAGGATCAAGGCAGCGCTGCATACATTCGAGGTTCCCGATTCAGGACTCCTCAAAGCGCCCACTGCCGCCACGGCTGGGTTGTTGCTGTGCTTGGGACTGCAGTAGCCACTGTCACTGTCAATGTCAGCCTCGCTGGCCCCCTGCTCACTGGAGGACTCTGCGGTGGGGTGGGACGCTCTCCTCCTCCGGCCTTTTGACTTCCAGAGCGTGGTGCTGGTGCTCTCCGAGAAAGATTTGTTAGCAATGTCTGATGGGAAATCTACAAGACAAGGAACATGGATTAGCTCCCTTGTGGCTACCAAATTTACAAATTCTTATTAAATTTTCATTAAGGAAATTGTGTGACAAAATAAAGATGTCGAACTTTGTAAATGGTGAGGGTGAAAACTTTTTAAAAAGATCCTTAAAAGGTAAGCTATTCTTGACACACTGGCTTACAGCCTATCACTTGTATAACTGAGCTAGTAAATAGCAGGTACCCATCACCCATTAGAAAATGAGAACAGCATCAGTACCTTGAAACCCACTATGGCACGTGCCCTCTTCCACCGCTAGATCATTTCTTAGCTAGAGGTCACCTCTAGCCTCTGAACGCTATTTTTAACATTCCTTCACTTTTTTTTTACAGCCTCATCAGATTTTTTTACTCCTAAAATATAAATCTATAGTCTTTAACTTTAAAAAATATATAATCATTCTGTGACATGCTTTCCCCTCCCCACCAGCGAACTCTGGTTTTGAAATTCCAGCACATCTAGCCATAATTCATAACTCAGTAATCCTACCGCTTCCGCATGAACAGGCTTCCTTGTTCGCTGTCATCAAGTAGACAACTCGTGGTGACCCTCCTCTCAATGGAACAAATGGCTAGTCCAGCAACATCTCCATAACTGATGTTAGATCCATCACTATGACCCACTGGGTGTTCACTGGCTGATTGATAGAAGTCGGCCACCAGGCCCTTCTGGTGCATTAACGTGAGACTTACTCAGCCAGCATCACTGACTGATGGGTGGTACTGCTGATGAGGTATAGTGGCCAGTAATTAAACCTAGGTCTCCCCTATGAAAAGTGAGAATTCTACCACTGGACCACCAATGAATGATTCATATAGTTATTCTTTATTCCACTGACAGGACACTAGGTTTTTTTACTTTAAGAATACTGCTGTGAGCATTTGTGGCTTCAAAAATTTGTGGAAAACAGAATTAAAGATAATGGAATTTTTCCATGAACTTTCTTACCATACATATATAGATGTGTGTATGGTAAAGTAAAATTACTTATGACCCTTTTATTCATATCTGTATCTCCTACCAAATGATGGGATGGGACCATGCAAAGAGAAGGATTAAACACTGATAGACAGGATTGATCGGTTTTGTCATTCTACTGGGCAAATAAGTGAGCTATCTCAAAATCAGGGAGAGATTCCATGACCATCAAGAAAGGTCAGCAGCGGAATCCATGTGTGATCCCTGCCTGAAGTGGAGTGGCAGCAGAGGCACCAGAAGCCAAGCACCAACACCATGAGACAGAGCAGAGAAGGCACAGAGAGACAGTGAGTTCGTCGGGCTTGCTGGCCTACAGAGCATGGGAGAAGCCAAGGGACCATGAAGCTGAGAGGCTGAGGACCAGCACGGCTGAGAAAAGTCGCTTCTGACAAAAGAACAATATACCACCTAATAGCTTGTTAGTTTTGTGAATAACCCCCCCAAATTGTGAGTACTATCTGTGAGCTCTGCATAGCCACTGGAAATTATCGTACCCAGCACAGTAAAAGCGTGTTGAGGGAGGGATGGTTTGGCTGGTGTTAGGAGAGGGAAGAGAAGGATGGAGGCAGGTCTGACCTTGGCCTCGTGGCCATTGGCTTGGTATGGAAGCCGCTTCTCCTCCTAGGTGTTGCCAGACAAGGGTAGACATGGTCTCCATGCCATTTCCTCACTATGGTACTCATGCTTAAGCTTTTCTAAAGCACATACTGTTGGGACTTATAGCATGCACATATACAACTTTACTGGCAATGTCAAATCACTATCTTGGTGACGAAAACAATTTTCACTCTGAAACTCTCAAACCAAGCTCACAGCCATCATCCAGTGGATTCTAACTCAGTGACCCTATAGGGCAAGGTGAAGTGCCCCTTTGGGTGTGAGACTTTAAACCTTCACAAAACAGACAGCCTTTATCTTTTTCCCTCCCAGCAACTGCTGGGTGCAAACTGCTGACCCTGTAGTTAGCAGCCACGTGAGTAGCTGGCTCACACCAGGGTTGCTCCTTGAGCAATATGTTGCAAGTGTTTCTACTGGTGCACATAAGTATCAAATAGTTCATGCTATCTTCTAGGTTATAATTTTTGCCAGTCTGTTGGCTACAAAAAAGATGGCTTCTTTTGGATTTTAATTTGTATTTTCACATTTAATAATGAGATTGAGTATCATTTCTGATGTTTTTAACCATTAATGTTTCTCCTCTAAAATACTACCGAATTTTAGATTATTTGATACCTGCTTATCTTTCTACTGAGTTTTCTGTTTCTTATTTTGATATTTCACAAATTATAATCACAATAATTGAATACAAAAAAAAAATTTTTTTTCCCAGTCTTCTCAGCCCAAGAAATCCCCAAGTTTCTACTATCTGTCCTTTCTGGTGCTAATTTGTATGTGCCACTGATAAAATTTTTAGTTGTCCTCTGCTTATTATTCAAGTTATTGCAAACTACCATAATTACAATGTCAGGCAGTCCCAAGGTGGATACTGAGATGTCAGGGTTTTGTTACACTGCTGTAAGGTGTATCCTTACTCCCACAGGCTTCTTTCTGGGGGAGACTTCATCTGCATACAGTAAAATGACAGGGTCAAAAGACACATAGATTCCTACACTCATGCCAAACTGTTTTCCAAAGAGGCTTCAATCTCCAGGTGCTGTGTCCCAAGAACCATGAGCACAAAGGGTGATCATTTACTTACTGATTCAGCAGAATTCTTTATTGGTCCTCATATTAATCCTCTATCAGTTATATACACAATATCCAACCTTCAGGCTTATTCTTTCATTTACTTTTTATAAGAAATTCCAAATCTTAGAAATAGTTCCCTCCAAAAATCGTATGTGAATGAGGGGCAGTGAGAAGTGGAAACCCAAAGCCCATCTGTAGTAATTGGACATCCCCTTACACAAGGGTCACAAGGAAGAAACAAGGCCATCAGGGTGCAGTATAGCACCGTTGAAACATACAACTTTCCTTTAGTTCTTTAATGCTTTCTTAACCCACCCAGCCACCACTATCATGATCCCAATTCTACCCTACAAATCCGAGTAGACCAGAGCATGTACACAGGTACAGACAAGAGCTGGAAACACAGGGAATCCAGGACAGATAAACAACCCCTCAGGACCAATAATGAGAGTAAAGATACCCTCAGGAGGGGAAGGGGAAGGTGGGGGGAGAAAGGGGGAACTGATCACAATGATCTACATATAACCCCTTTCCTGGGGGATGGACAACAGAAAAGTGGGTGAAGGGAGACATCAATCAGTGTAAGAATTGGAAAAATAATAATAATTTATAAATTACCCAGAGTTCATCAGAGAGGGAGGGAGGGAGGGAGAAAAATGAGGAGCTGATACCAAAACTCAAGTAGAAAGCAAATGTTTTGAGAATGATGAGGGCAACAAATGCACAAATGTGCTTGACAAAATGGATGGATGTATGGATTGTGATGAGTTGTATGAGCCTCCAATAAAATGAATTAAAAAAAGAATAGTTCCCTGTCTGTAGTTGTAAAGAAAAGGCTTGTCTTTTCTATTTGATTTTTCCCATTTAAGTTCTAAAGCCATCCGGAATAGACTTGTATAAGGTGTAAACTAGGCATATGAAATGCTACTGCTGTCATCTTCTCAGTATTTGTTTCCACACACATCTGGGCCAGTTTTTTGGTGCTCTGTTCTATTTTGTCTATGAAGGAGCTTTTAAAGTTGAAGGGAAAATTCCATTTTTCTTCCTTTTTCTATAAATCATTTTATTGGTGGCTCTTACAGCTCTTATAACAATCTATACATCAATAGTATCAAGCACGTTTGTACATATGCTGCCATCATCATTTTCAAAACATTTTCTTTCTACTTGAGCCCTTGGTATCCACTCATTTTTTTCCCTCCCTCCCCACTCCCACCCTCATGACCCCTTGATAAAGTATTATTATTTTCGTATCTTACACCAAACGCTGTCTCCCTCCCTTCACCCACGTTTCTGTTGTTCGTCCCCCTCAACTGGGGGGGTAGGGGGAATTATATGTTGATTATGATCAGTTCCCCCTTCTCCCCCCACCTTCCCCCTACCCTCATGATATTACTACTCCCATTATTGTTACTGAGGGATTTATCTGTCTTAAATTCCGTGTGTTGAGAACTCTTATTTGTACCAGTACACATGCTGCAGTCTAGCTGGATTTGTAAGGTAGAACTAGGGTCATGATAGGGGGGAAGAAGCAGTAAAGAACTAGAGGAATGTTGTATGTTTCGTTGGTGCTATACTGCACCCTGGCTGACTCATCCCATTCTTGTGACCCTCCTATTAGGAGATGGCTAATTGTCTACTGATGGGCTTTGGGTCTCCACTCTGACCACTCTCGTTCACATTAATAGTTTGTTTTGGGTCTTCTGATGCCTGATACTTAATCCCAACAACACCTTGTGATCACACAGGCTGGTGTGCTTCTTCCATGTGGGCTTCTTGCTTCCCTGCTAGATGGCCGCTTGTTTAACTTCAAGCCTTTTAGACCCCAGACACTGTATTTTCTAATAGCCAGGCACCATCAGCTTTCTTCACCACATTTGCTTATGCATCAATCTTGACTTCAGCGATTGTGTCGGCAAGGTAAGCATCACAGAATGCCAGGTTATTAGAACAAAGTGTTCTTGCGTTGAGGGAGGACTTGAGTAGAGACCAGGTATCCGTCTGCTACCTTGATACTTAATATATATGTACAGAGACCTATACTCCTATCATTTATAGGTATAAATATAGGTATGTTATATGTAAAAATTCCATTTTTCATTCTAGTTTTCCACAAAGTTTTTGAAGTTCCTTCACATTTTTGTACACGCCATTCATACTAAGAAGCCCCAGTGGGTAGGGGATGAAGGGGAAGAAGCCTGGCAATGCTGTCAGGCTGCTAACTAAAAAGTTGGAAGTTCAAACCTACCAATGCTTTAAGGGAGAAAGATGAGACCACCTCCTGCTTCTGTAGATGTACAGTCTAGGAAGCCCTACAGAGGGATGCTATGAGACAGCATCCACATGACGGCAGTGAGTTTGGTGGGTGGCTCGGAGGTTTAGACATGGAGTTGTTATCTTCAAACCGGTGGCTCAAATCCAGCAGCCACTACAAGGGACAAAGATGAATCCACCTGCTCCACAGAGATTTACAGTATCAAAAGCTCTAGGGAGCAGTACTTCTGTCCTGTAGGGTCACTGATATGATAAACACATAGGAATTGATATTTTTCCCGGACATGTCTGCTCTTCTTGGACTAGTGCTCTTCTGTTTTAGAATTTGTCAGTCTGTCCAGTCTCAAGAATTCCTGTTGACATTTTGATTAGAATTATGCTGAATCTACACACTGAGGAAAAACTGACATTTGCAAATCAGATCTCCCTTCTTAAACATAGTATTTCATTATTCTACAATGAGGTTTATAATCTCTACAAAAAAGCCTTGTATAGCTTTTATAAGATTGCAGGTGTTCTACACTGTCAATATCGTAAAGGCATTCTTTTAGTAAATTCTGGTGACAGCACACTGAAGTGCAATTAACCTTTGTGTATTCTCATACCTAGAAATCTCACTAAAGTCTTATTGAATACTGTAAGCATATGTCCAAAAGTTAACATATGTAACTAATGAAGTCAGATTCTTTTCACACTCCAGTATTTAATTTTAGAAGGCCTTGCTGGCACTGTGGAGTACTGCTAATGGTAAGATTGGCATGGAAGTTCAAACCCACCAGCGGCTCCAAGGGAGAACGATGAGGTGTACTGGTCCCAGAAAGATTTTAAGCAAGCATACATTACGCTTTTCATTTGAATATAAATGAACACATGTGTATTATGGCAGATAAGGCATTTTTAACTTGTTAGAAATTATAGTACAATAAATACCAGTTTGTTTTTATAAAAAAAAGATTTACAACCTCAAACACCCTATACAGGGTTACTAGGAGTTAAAACTAATTCGAAAACAGTAAGTTTTAAAAATATATTCAATTTAACTCTGATACCAATTAATCCTCAGAAGTTAAAAATAAACTGAAAAGCATATATACAGATGGAATGTACTATCTCCTACCCAAATTATGCCCTCACTTTTTCATTTTCAAATTCCTAAGCTTCAGATTGTCTCATTTTTACAAACATTGCCAAGTTTGAACTGGGTCACTGTGACCAGGAGAAAACAAAACAGAAAATACTGTAGCCCATTACACTTGGACCCTTTCTTTACCAGGGCACTCGGCACATCTGTCAGGCTCCATTCCACTCACTGCTTTCTGCTCTATGTACTCTCCCATGACTGGACGACCAGACAGAGCAGCCGTTAACGGATTCTCAGATCCTTCCTCTGCTCTAGTAAAAGGGTAAAAAGGTACAACTGACTAATCCTACAGACAGAGAAAGACAAGGTCCAGCCTGAAGAAAATGAAGTATACACCATCTTATATCATTAGTCATTTCAACCCTGACTTCATTTGAATGGAAGCGATAGCAGGATAAATTGCAATTATGTCATTGAAAAACCATATCTAATTCTTGATCTTATATCATAAAATAAGGACTTTTCTTCTTCTGGGGAGGGGCAGGCTGCTGGTGTCAATGACAATAGTAAGAGGTTGTAAACATCTCTTCTATATACACTAAATTGAGATCAAAGATAAAAACTGGAATTTGGAAGTAAAAACTAAAGAAAGAACTAAAATGCTAAAAAAACATTCATTCCTGCCTATGCTCAGGATGAAAGTTCTGTTGTGATCTAATCCATATACAAAAAATCCACTGCTCTCGAGTTGATTCCCAAGCCTGTAAACCTTCCCAGAGCAGCCTGTCACATCCTTCTCCCGGAGCAGCTAAGTAGGAGTTGAACTGTTGATCTGCTGGCCAGCAGCTGAGCGCTTGAAGACTGCGCCACCAGGGCTCCTTATAAAACCCTCTAAAAGTCTTTGGGTAAAATAATAACCAACAAATCTGAAAATTTAACTTCTTTAAATAGGATGTAGGAGTCACTTAAACTCGCCTGGTTTGGTTCGTGCTTAGACATGGCACAGACAACTTGCTATGTTCTTCCTAGGAAATGTGAATAGGATGTTAGAATGTTTTTTAATGGTTTACATCTGGTTATGGAAATGCATAAGATGATTTGATTTCTACTGAAAATGAGTACCCCCAAATTTCAAATTTCTACCATATCTGCAAAAGTCCATCTCTGGTTTCTGAACTGCTCCCTTACTTTACCAGAGCAAGGAAACCCCAAATCTTGTTCAAAACTCACATAAGTCAAAAAGCAAGTTGAAAAAATATTAGATTTTTATCCTTCCTACAGAATTTCACAAACTGGGGGACAAATGGAAAGATAAAAGTCTAGAGTACTGAAAAGTGATACAGACCACAATTTTAAAGCCCATGCATAAAAACACGCAAGTCCTTGCCTTACCAGTTTGCTGTGAAGCATCCACTAGAAGCACTATCTTTGATCGATTATCAGGACCTGCTGCAGTTGTCTCTTTCTGGGTGGCTACATTTTTCACCAATGGCCTCTTGCTTTTTATGTGTTGTTGTAAAAGTTGTTGCTGATTTAAGTTAGAAAAAAAGTTTAAATACTACTTAATGTAATAAAGCATTATAAAATACACACCCACTAAAAATACACCTTAGGGTTTCTCAATCCATAGATCACCAGTGTTATTTTATAAGCATCTATGAAATTATCTACAACCAAGCATAAAAGGCCAATAATGTATTACAGATATAGTTCCTTATACATATATTTATATTCATATACTATTTCCTATATATTCATATAGTATATTAATACTATAGCTAAAATTAACAAAATAGGAATTCACTTTTAGATGTTTTATATTTTCTCAATAAATAGTAATAGAAATATAATTACTTGGCATAAGAAGTTACAGATTTTTAGTAAAAGCGGTTGTAGTAGTTTTATAATTTCACGTCAACTTGATCCATAAAAGTGTAGGGGTGGAGTCTAGTGCCCAGCCTGTCCATCAGGTCACAGCGATGGTACCTCCTTATGGCCGTGGCCTTCTCATAAGGATGGCCCTGGTTACACCCCACACCACACACACCTCTCCCCCAAGCTCTCTTTCTCTCTCTGCCTTCACCTTCCTGCCAGCTAACCTTGATTGTGGCCAGAGCCACCACCATGGGATGCGCACCCACCCGCCTATGATCTTCCTACATTCTGCATCACTGCATGTGGCTGAGTGAGTCTGAAGAGGGACTCATGGGCTAGTAATGGACTTATGGAGTAGTATAGCACTTAGGGACTTGAGTTGAACCGGGCCGGGATGTTTTCCTGAGATACAATTACTTCTTGATATAAAGCTCTTTCTTCCACATATAAGAGTGTCACTGGATTTGTTTCTCTAGTCAACCCACTCTAACACAGCAGTAATAAAAGGGTAGTGACTTATCTCAAGGCTATAAGTTAGTTTCATGTGATTACTTTATAATAGTGAATTAAATGTCTTATGAAAATTTAGCATTAATGGGCAATCAACACAAGTAATGGATTATTTATATTAGTTTTATAACCAGAAACATCAAACATAAAAGCCAACCACAGTGACTTACTTTAGGGATCGCTTGGCCTCTGCTGTTTCTGCTTCGATGATTAGACAATGGGAAGACCTGCCCAAGCGGATTTGGACGCTCAGCACATTCTGTGGTTACAGTATTTACAGTATTTGTGGCCTGAAAGGTGTTGGAGTATGGTGTGGGAAAGGGATGATAAAAACCCATAACTTGGGCACACGGTGCTGGCATTAGCTGGTAATAGGTATACTCCGTAGAAACAGGTGGCTGGGCAGATATGATGGGGTAAGCAAGGTATGGTCCAGCGGGATTTGGATTGGGCTGCTGCCATCGGATATCATTGTTATATAATGGAAATTGTCTGTAAGACAAAATTTTTAAAAGAATAAATCTATTGACAAGTCTAAAATTAATGCTAAAGCAAAATCACTTAACAAACTAACAAAAGAAAAAATGAGCATCGAAAGGAGACTTCAAAATAATTCTAGCAGAGGGTAAAATGCCATCTTATCAATTTTCTTGTAATAGAAACTTAAACGACACTATAAATGGATTCAGCGTGACAGCTTTACTGCATTCTAAAAACTCTAAGTACTTTCTGTCCTTACTTGCAGCTCTCTTCTTAACCTACAAGGTATTTCTGCATAAAAGTAAACTATCTGGCTGCTGGATCTATGAACACAGAGTTCAAAGTCCCATCCACTGACAAGTGACAGCCTTACAAAAAAGTGGAGTAAGAGGACCATTGCATAAGGCTGATTTGAGTCCTCCACCTCATTCTTCACTCGTCGCGGGGCGTCCTACGAAGGAGGCCAGACTCCACGAACCGCTTGGCCAGCTCCTCTCCAGACTCTTCCTTGGCAGGAGAAGCAGCTTCCAGATCCAAGGAAAAAGGAGAGAAAGTGGCAAACCTCTATTGCCATCTTATCCCCATTATTTGGGCTTCTCCTATGTGCAGCACCATAAAGCACTACCCTAAGGTTCCTCCTGGCCCAGGAGGCCCCTGACTGGAAACTGCTGCTGATGTGTGAGGGCAACTGAGGAACAGGCATTGGACATAATATAGCTTGACCTTACCGTCCATGACAAAATGGAAAATGGAAAAACCCTCAATACTATAATCTCGAATTTTTAAATAATCTGCTTGCTTGTCCACTCAAATCCTCATATATTATTTGGTACAGTAAAAAAATAAAACCAAACAATTAGCATACTATACACTTGGCCATTTGGGCAAAGACAAAAATATTAAATTTAGTTTACAAATGACTTAAAACAATCCATTTAGTCAAAGATCTTCAAGATTAAAGTATAATAAACAAATTACCTATTGGACTGGTTTTCCTGCACAAACGGGTAACAAGTAATCAGGTAACTGGGGATTGGAGTTGGTTCAACACCGGAAACACTTGCGTTATCGTTTGGGAACGCCATAGGGATCAAAATGGTGTCGGGGTTCTTCTTCTGGGGAACAAACGGCTCCACTTCAGCAGACAGCTTGACATTCTTCAAAGGAAGGTGAGCCACAGCAACACAAAACCACAATTTAGCAAGAGTCTGTCTGTACAAACAGTGAGTAGAATTCTTAACAGTTTTCACCAAACATTCCAGAGGAACAGAAATGCTAACTTTAAATCATGATAATAAGCCAGTAATATACAAAAGAGCTATCACATAAAATAATGAAAAACTTATCAGAGATTATTAATTACTTTTTCATTATTATTTCAATGAAATTTGTTATGTAATCAAATCTGTTAAAAAATCAGGAGCACAAGGAAGTCATACCTCAGAGTCTAAAAGTAATGCCCATAGTAAGAAATCTAGCTGCTCTGGCAAAACAATGTGTTTTTAACTAATTTCCTTGGGTTGGGGGGCACTAAAAGAGTTCTGAAAGGTAATTACTTTCTATTGGTTTGAATAGTATAAAAAGGGGGCTATTTTTGTCCATTTCAGGAAATTAGGTTAATGTTGCTAAATCAAAAGGAAGGAAAATGCCTAAGCTGAAAGAAAAAAATGTTTACTGTAAGGGTAAATAATTTCAGCTCACAATTAAATTTGGGGGGTGGGGTGAGAATTACTTCAGTTTCCTAGTAGACAATCTGTGCAATTAATTCCAAATATGTATTCTATTTTAGTTTATTCTTATCTTTTTTATAATAAACAGAGATTTACAAGACATTTTTCAAAAACTAGCATTTAGGGATATACGTATGGATACTAAAACTAAAGTGAGGCAGGTCCATGAAGTTCTGACCAGGTTAGTCCTGGACAAGCAACAGCGGGTTGTGACTGGGGTAAGTCATGTGCAGAGATTCTGGAGGGCCCAGGAAAGTCTACGCCCCAGCTTGGGTGACCGTTACAGAGTGCTCACTTTATGACAATTCATTTAAATTGTACAACTCTTTTATACAGTTGGGCTGCTAACCACAAGATCAGCAGTTCTAAACCCCTGCCACTCAAAGGGACGAAAATGAGGCTCTCTACTCCCATAAAGAATTAGTCTCGGAAATGCACAGGGGCAGTTCTATAGGATCACTATGAGTCAGAACTAACTTGATAGCAATGATTGATCAATTCTTGACAAAGTTAAAAAAATTTTAAATCATTTTAGAAGGCTCATACACCTCTTATCACAATCCATACAACCACCCATTGTGTCAAGCACATTTGTACATATGTTGCCATCATCCTCTCAAAACATTTGCTTTCTACTTGAGCCCTTGATATCAGCTCCTCATTTTTCCCCTCCCCACTCTCCCCACCCTCAGACAAGTTTCAAATTTTTAAGTGAAGAAAAAAGAACCCTACATATGGTTACGAACAATAAGTACTATTACCTAAAAAATATTACTTAAAACTTATCTTTTCATGAAACCAGTAAGTAACAAGCAAGGCAATAAATAAATCATTCGCTGAAATCAATTACAGGTTTCCCTCATTACCTGAAAGCAGCACACACCTTATGAAACTTTTTATAACTTGAGATGGCATAAAATAAAAACACAATTACCACTAATTTATCAGGGTGGAGGGAATCAGCATTCCCAAACCCCCAAAATAATCTATGGTATCATAGCAACTGCTTTAAGTAATTTATTTTCAATAACAATGAACAGATAATAAAAACTTGATTATAGAGTTCATATATATTCATATGGAGATGAACGGTGTGAGTGATTTTTTTTAGTCACATTTTCAATGCTTAGACTAAAAATAGAACTCTTAGGAATTTTTTTTTAATTAAAAAAATTCTTTTGAACTCTGAATAGTTTTATAAATCTGTAATACTACTAGGCATGGGGGAGAGGGGTACTTTACAGCAAGGAACATGGGCACATTAATCTAAAATGGAAAAAGGAACATAATTATTAAAAAAATAAGATAATTAAAAAACTTTCCTGACCAAAAATAAGAAAACCTGACTAATTTATAATGCAGTATATATTCAAATTCTTGCTCAGGTCAAAGGTTGGAATACATTTTTTACACCATTTCATTTCTATTTTATAAAGTTTTATAAACTTAAGCAAAATATCTCAACAGGTATCTTGCACAAGTTTAACAGATATCTGCACATATACAAAGTATTTACTGAAAAAGAAAAGTTTTCATTGGTTTCTACTCTAAGAGCTGTTCTGGATATCAGAGCTCAACAATTAAGACTCAGAGACACTGAAATGACCCTTTGTTTTTGGAAAAAGAAAAGCTGCTATCGTCAGCAGCTGCACACACAGAAGATGTCACTAGTAGGAACAGACTGGCAAACTTCTCCCTAAAGCTGCAGTTCTGTTTCATTTTCAATGTTATTTATTGTGCCTTTGTGGCCTCCAGTATACATTAAAAATACAATAAAATTCGATGTTTTCAGATCTCAAAAGTAATGTTAAATACTGAAGCAATCTTATAATCGTACATAATAAAGCCCATACGAGCAGTCTGTTACACTGTATCTATTTCTGGCAATAATTCAATCATCTGAGTATAAATACCAAAGGGGAAAAATGTTATTAAAAAAAAAATCACCTAGACTAGCTATTAAACTTTATTCCTTCATCTGAATGTCTGTGCTTAGTCTTTCCACTTCTGTAAAATATTATGTTTTAGGCATCAATAGAATTATAGTAGGAAGCTATCTCCTTAAAGAAAGTATAAATGTAAACTACGTCTAAAGTAAATATAAAAAGGAATCTAACCATTCTTTTACTATTTGCTTCACACATCAGGAAAAAAAGATGTACAGAAGAAAATGCTTTTAATCTTTCTGAAATTAGGCCAGAAACTCCCAAGTTAATGAAAAATCATAACCCTGGAAACCTGTATCTGAAAATACACTTAAAGGAGTTTCATATTCAGCTTTACTTTTATGTATATTAAACTAAAAGTCAATAAAAAACTTCCGTGGTATAAGTAATCTAGAAAACCCAAGATTTTATCAGCCCATAAAACTAAAAATTATAATAAATTATCAAGCAAAGGAATTCAGATGTCTGAAAGCCTGTAAAATTCAACAAACATATACTGAGCACACATTCTGGGAAAAAACTAAACTAAACTAGACCAGCATCAAAAAAGCATGCCCATCAGCAGTAAATGCACGGGAGGCTTAAGATGCAGTGCCAGCTGACACAGGAAAACTACACCCCTTCCATCAAAACAGAAGCTGAACACAGGCAGTGAAATGTCAGAACATATATGCCCATAAATGCCTCCCACAGTCTCTTAAGATGAACATATCACCTATCAAATACTAAGACACTTTACCTCCTGCGGGCAAAATTACAAGTGTCTTCTGATGGGGAAATAGAAAGAGGAACTACTGCCTACGAGGTAACTGCCGATGGTCTTACTTTCTGATTGAATGGCTTGTGCTAAAAGTAACTACTTGCCCAAACTAACTGCATCATTTATGCTTTGTAAGACTTCAGAACACATTGAGAGAAAACAGTTGATTTTGACTCTGCCCACTTGCTTTGTTATCTAAGCATTTTCCCCCATTTTTGAAAACAGTACAGCCTAAAGATGATAAAATATGATGGTAGCAACTTTGTATATCTAATTTTTTGGATTATCTTTTTAATTAATTTTTCTGCTAATATTCTTATTCTTTTCTCTCCTGCATTGAAGGGATTTCCTCAACTTCTTGCCACGGATGCGTAATTTTTATTTTCATTTTAAAGTATCTAATATAAGCATTTATGACTATGAATTTTCCTTAGAGCAGTGGTTCTCAACTTGTGGGTCTTGACCCCTTCGGAAGTCAAACAGCCCTTTCACAGGGGTCGCTTAAGTCCATTGGAAAACACCTATTTCTGATGGTCTTAGGAACGAGACACCCCTCCTTTAGCTGTCTCCAAGCAGATCTGCCCACATGCAGATACGCCTACCTACGAGTATGGGCGTGAAGACTGTTACCCATGCTACACCACGCTTCAAGACAAAATTTATTTGTAATTAGAAATAAGTATCTCCAAAAAAAATGATAGAAATATCTCACAATATATAATTACATATTGTTTTTGTGATTAATCAGTTTTAATTATGTTCAATTTGTAACAATGAAACTACATCCTGCAAAAAAAGAAAAAATGCATCCTGCATATCAGATATTTACATTACGATTCATGAGAGTAGCAAAATTACAGTGAAGTAGCAACGAAAATAATTTTATGGTTGGGGGTCACCACAAAATGAGGAACTATATTAAAGGATCGCAGCATTAGGAAGGTTGAGAACCACTGCCTTATAGTTTCAACCATATGCCACCAGCTTTTTAATGTGATATATATATATTTTTAAGCTTCTTTAATAACCTGTAACTATACTCTATATTGATAAGCCCTGGTGGCATAGTGGTTGAGTTAGGTTGCCAGCCATAAGGTCAGCAATTCAAAACAACTGTGGGAAATGAGGCTTTCTACTCCGTGAAGAGTAGTCTCTGGAAAGCCACCAGGGCAGTTCTACCCTGTCCTTAAATAACACATTATATGGTAACTCTTTTTAACATACTTAATATACAATGCTGAAATTAATTGAAGATTATTTAGAGAAAACAACTACAAGTTACTAATTTTATACCCTCATTCGTGAGGGTATGTGCTGTTAAAACATTAGTTACCTATTTTCTGTCTAAATCATTAATAACTAAAAATTAAAACAGCTTTAAACTATTTGATTTGTGATGAGATATAAAACTTTTGAGTGTTTAGTCACCTCTAGATCTACTGTTTCTTAAAGTTCAAAACACTGTACTAAATTTCCTAAAAATAAAATACTAAACCTTTATAAACAAAATGAACTGTTAGGGTGGGTGTGAGGCAATCTATTATACAAAATACTATCAATTTGTTCTTAAAACACCTAATCTTAGAGTGAAAATAAAACTGATTTACTGTCCTGCTAAAATAAAGTACTTATGTTCTAATGTAAATTGTTTTGAAACAGTCATTATTGCAAATAAGACTATCAACCTAGTAATCAATTCCCAGTTATCTACTTTTTACAAT